CCTTAGACCTTAGTTAGACCTAACACACTTTGCTATTTTATCTACCTCTGGAACAAGCTAAACTAGTTATAAATATATTTATTCTTCACTGTTGGGTCACTCATTACTGGATCAGTGAGCTGCATGAGATACTGACAGGCTGTCAGGAGAGAGAGAGGGGGAGAGGAAAAGAGAGCGCTTCCGCTAATTTCTCCCGTGTTACTATCCAAAGTTAATGTAAACTTGAATAATGTACTTAATTTGAATGTAATAATTATGTTGGTTGTTGTTTGTGGAAGTGCCAGCGAATGAGCCCCATTAACTGAGTTTTAAACATCACTTTAAATGGAAGATCCCCATAGGCCCCGCCCACTCGATCGGATCGGTATCGGCCGATACTGATTCTGGCGATCGGCGACAAAATTGACGATCGGCGCATCCCTACTGTATAGTATGTGTGTTCACTCTCTGTCCAACACGGCTTGTTGGAGCTCCTGCCCCCCCCTCCCTGTGAGCCCACTGTGCTCTGATTGGTCAGCTCACCCACTCTGTTCTGATGAGTCCACCACCATTACAGCGGAACATCAGTGATTATGTGTTACAATGGCGTTAGCAACCAGAAAATGACACCAGTAATGACAAACAGATGAGAATGCTGCGTGGGGTCTGGGTGCCGTGTTGGCGGGACGTTGTGTGGAGCGGACAGTGTGAGCTGGGTTACTGGTGTCATTTCCTGCTTGCTGCGAGACAGCGAGACATCGCGAATGGACGCGGGAAGGGGGGGGTGCTGAGGGGGCTGCAGCACCCCCATCTGCAAGGCTCCACTAGCACCCGCACCCCCCACCCCAAATGTGGCGCTCCTACAGTGGTGTAAGCACGCCACAGTTTCGCCGCTGAGAGTGTGTGTGTGTGAGGATCTCCACGGACCAATGGGTCCATTTGGGTATGGTCACGTCACTGTACGGAAGACAAAGAGAAATCTCCAACGAGGCGTTCTGGGGCAGCATAGACAGGTCTTTTCTGTGTTAGAGTTTTACTTGCTACAGGATGTACTTTGAGGGTTTGTGACTCTGCAGACCGTTTACATGCATAAAAACCTTCATAACACACAAGGGGACGGGTAGTAACCAGAAACGCATGACATGGAACCTTTAAGGGATCCTAATGCACGTGATGGTTAGTGACGTGCACCTCCCATTGAATCAGCCTACAAAGAAACGTTGACCTTCTCTGTCAGTTATTATTGACTTGCTTTGTCTAATTTACAGTTATCAGGCGGAGCACAAGATGTGTTTTGGCGCAGTAACACAAAGCTTTTCTGAGAGACTCCAGCTTGCAGAGGCTTGCAAAGGTCTCAAGTTGACGTGTTTCTAAATTAAAAATCTCTTGGTATGGTTTTAACACTGAACAAAACATTTAGCCAAGGCAAAAGCATAGTGATATGTAGTTTGCTATCACACAGTTTACAATGGGTATACATTTCAAAGATCGTTATTTTGATGCTCTGGTCTGGTAAAAGCAACACTGTGTATAGACTCTAAGACTCAAAATGAAGTCAGGCTACATAGCCACGATAATTACTTTTCATGAAAGGAGAAACTCTGCAGCTTGCTATTGGAAATGCAGGAACTGAACAGTTGACCTACCTGTCAACATAACTGCTACAACGCATGGTGTATGTGATACACCATGCATTGTGTGCACATCAGCTGCCTTACAAAGTGATCAAAGTGTTGTGAATAGCCAAGGCTAAGAACAGCTCATATCGTCTTGTTAAACCAAATGATAGTATAGTGGGCTATATTGCATAACATCAACATAAAGCATTGATAGTAATGTAGAGAAGCATTATTTACATCTAATTCTTACATAACTGCATCCAGAGACATTGTACTTTTTACTGTAAGATTTTATACATGTGAAACAAATGTATAATGTAAATGATCTTTCGATAACTAGCATGTTTGCTTTTATGCTATAAAGTTCTTACATGTTACTTTAATAGAGTATTTCTATGGTTATGTGGCTATATAATAAATGTGGATGACAGGGGATGGCTAGTAATCGACAAATCGGAGAGAAGGGGACACTTTACAAGACACACTGCCTCCTGTTTTCACAGCCAGAATAATTGCACCTTGTGTCGCCAGAAGAGCACTGATTTAGCACTCAGAGCATATTAAAATGAATAAACACAATTAGCTGTGAGTGCAACAGCACCTCTGCACAGCGCACATTTCTCTTCAGAGCAGCTGTTATTAACTGTGATGTTGCGTCAAGTGCAATGTGACTAATTGTAAAGCACTTGATGCCACCAAAATGTTACTAATTTGTAGTTGAATAAAATGAATGGAAATAAATGGGTGGGCAAAGAAATAATTAGATGAACAAAGGGCTAGGCAGTAAATGTGTAGTGTTGGCTGATTAATGTTTTTTCTCTCATTAGAAAGATTAAACATTTTATAACCAAACCATGGTGTTAATTCAAGTAAAACCAAGGCACTGTAATTGAAGAGATAAACGTTATTAATAAGACCTAATCCTCTAATTCATTAGTACATGTGTTTTGGGATGTGTGACTTTTGAAAATGGCAGAGATCTAATTTTGACATTTGAAAACGTCTTACTGGTTGTGAGTTTCAGTTTCAGTGTAACATCTGGAAAATCTCTAATGATAAAAGGCTCTTAAAGTATCAAGAGCTCTGCTTGCTTGTCCTCTATAAAATCCAATAGTCTAAGTTGGTTGTATTTCAAACTGTCAAAATGCACTTCATGTTAAGAACCCCAAAGAACACAAACTATACAACAGTCAGAAACATGATAACATCTGAAATCTCCTGTAGCATGACGTTAAATAGCCTCCAGTCATTCTGTGAGGCCTGTAGCTATCTACAATATCCTTCTCCTCTCCACCCTTTGATCCCCTTAAAAATGAGAGAGAGAATTCACCCTACTGTCGAGGTAGGGGAAATAAAAGAAAACAGCTCAGAATGGAATAATTGCAAAGGAAATGAATTTTCAAAACCCTGAGGAGGACACTTCTTTAAGGCCTCCGTTCTTGGGGGGGGAAGCATCATATCCGGGGCACAATTCAATTAGCTTCTCTTCCAAGGGTAGGGAAAGGAGCTCCGGGGAGAAATCTAAAGTTTTGTCCAATAAAATAAGTTTTCGAGGATGTAAAACTCTCACTGCCCCCTCCTTCCCCACTATTCATTACAACTGCTTACAAGCTTGCCACTCACAAACGCATCGATCTGCGATTTCCACAGACAAAAGAGAAATAAGTAAAATGAAATAAAACAGCACCTTGCTGATGCAGCTCTGACAGACATGCCGGTCACGCTCAGTCGACTGTGCCTGGCAGCTTTTACTTGGCATTCTCATTGCCTTTTGTCTTTCTTGCCCAGTTATTTGACAGTGATCAGGGGTGATGAATTGTTCAATTAAAGCCACATTAAGAATCCAGCACTAACTTGACGCACAGCCTCTTGGTATTCGTGTTGTCCAATTACTCCAAAGGACAAGACTCCTTCTTGCTACTGACAATCAACATGTGACTCTCATCATAAGACAAATGGGTTTATTTATACAGCCTAGCAGGCTGATTGAATACTGGATTGCAAGACTGATGATCTGGAGTTACAACATACGTTAAACCTGAATAACCATTACAAATGGAAATGTGGTATAATTGGTGTTGATTTAAAAAAAATGCATAATAGAGGAGAATATATTCCCCATTAGGGGATTGTCTAAGGTTCACCAAGGTGTATAATAGCCTCAAAAGTATAAAAGCAATGGATGTAGGATGTATAGCTAGATGAATTGTCTTATGTGCAATTTCCCACTTAATTCCCTGGTTTTGACCCCGACATCTGAAAACTCTAAAAATGTAATGTCAAGATACTTCTCTATTTTATTAAGATCTGTAATAAAAACAATACTGTTTGTTCTTGTCTGTTCAGAAAGCTTCAGTAAATGAAATGCAATACTAATCTTTTGTTGGCTTGCAGTTGCTGTTGGGGTGGGAGGTGAGGGGGAGGGAAGGTTTTGCCTCAAGTGTTCTGACAAAATTAAGATCCACTGCAATTCAAGTTAGGCTCAATTGTCTTACTGTAGCTTGCAAATATGAAAAAAAGCCAAAGCTTGTAGCCAGAGTCAGACAAAAGCTATTTCTTAAGCAAAGCAATAACCCTTTAGAACAAAGAAAGCTAATTGTAAAAAAAAAGAAAGGTTATTGATTGTACGAAAAACAGATAAATAACTTAAAAGTGGCTATAAGTTTAAAAAGATAACAAAAAGCTCAAATCATTAACAATAAACTCTACAAAAAGCAGTCCAGACACATTACAAGTAAATATGCTACTTCTACACCATTGTTATCTATCGTGTTAGACAGGATGGAACAAAATAATCAATATAAATTGTATAGTGATTCAGTAAATTAATATCCCCTTATCAATAGTCACATCAGTTGTTTCATTGACATTTGTAGGCTTTTGCTTAGCCCTGATAAAAGTAATGAAAGTTAAACCTGCTTCACATTAGCAGAACCATGCACATAATGGCTAAAAAATGCTTGCCTTGATGTTTTCAAATGCAATGTTATGTGAGCATTTTGTTCAAACTCTCAACAGAATGCAGGCTCAGTGTTAGACCTGTGTGTTTGGGGGGGTCCGGGGGACACCTTTGCTTTAAGGCGCTGACTCAGTGCAAAATGAGAAAAACTGAAGTTTACTGAAAAAAAGCCAGAACTTATTTTTGCAATAACGTTTCCTTTAAAACAAATTCGTGCGAGAGAAAAGAAAAACATACCTCTTTATTTATCCCTAGCAGACTGGTAAAAAAGGATGAAAATAGACACCCGGTAGATAGAACGGTCCAGCATTATGCCAGAGTTGAAGGAGAGTTAAAGAGGAGTAACTTTTTCCTCATTCTTATCACATAACATATTGAACATGCTCTTTAAGCGCATATCAATCATTTCGAGAGTTCAGAGAAGAAAAGTTGCAAGCACTTACTTTTACGGCGTGAGAAAAGTATTTCTGAGACTACCCCCTAGTTGGTTTACTGCGGCAGATTTTAAAATCCAAATTCGTTGTGGATGAGAGGTCGTATTCCCGGAGAAAAAACTGTTACTTCACATTCCCGACGGTGAAAAAACCGCTATATTCCACTTTGTTGAGCAGCAGAGCAGTCACTTGTTATTGGAGGGAGCGAGTATAAAATACCTCTATTATTCCCTGTACGTTTGTATTCCTTTCCCCAAGATCAGACGCTCCGAGCTAGAATCTCGGTGAGTCTGTGAAAGAAAAAGTAAATACCCTATAATAATCCGTGCGCGACACCGCCGCGCGCGGATCTCCAAATGTATCTCTCTTTATTGGTGTCTCTCGTTATCTCCGCGTCCCAGGTTTTGGTTCCTTTCTTCCTAAATCCACCTCATACGGACTGGGGGTGGGGAGACAGGAGTCAAATACCCCCCTTCTCCCTCCCCTCGATTGCAGTGAAAAAATACGAAGCTGTGTGCTGCGTTCAATGCCCCCTCATAAACTTCGTGTCTTGACTTCTCCCGAGTCGTAAATCCTACCACTTGGTGCGTTCAAGCACGTTTAGTCGAAAAAACCTAACACAATGGGGGCCGAACGAAATAGCTTATTAGGCAACTGTAAGGCTGATCTTATTTAGTTCATATAGCTCGGCTGCGACGGCAGAATGACTACGAGACAAATGCAGAGCAATGGTGCATTGACGGAAAATTACTTAAAAGAGAAAATCGTTGGTAAAGATAGTTAACATGTTCTTACAGTAAGTGATAAAGAAGCATGTTTTCATACTCCTAACTTATACGAATTATGTAAATTGAGAGGTGAGAGATGCAATAAGTCATTGGGACAAAAATGTTGGTACTGCAACATGTGAAGTTCATAAATAAACTTTAATTGTCAAAATGAACTACAAAGTTTACTGTAGATTTAGCAAGAAAACATCCAGTAATTATTAATATTCAATCGACAAGCTGTGATGAAATATCCATGTTTTGTCGGTTATGTCCCTTTTCCCATTAAAATGTTAATACTAATCAAATTACGTTTGAATTGCTTTAATAGTCAGTGACAATAAAAGTAACCTATTTGAATGTGCTAAACAACAAAACAATAAGCTGCAATAAAATAAGGTCTTAATAAAAAAATTAGACATAATATATTATATCTATATTATATATAATATGAATATAATACAATAATATGTTGATTATCAACCATTTGTGCCAAGTTATCCCTTTGTCACCCCATTCTTTTCCTTTTAATGAGGAGGGAATTGGACTTGATTTTACCCATTCACATTGGCTTTCAGGGGAAACAAAAACTCTGATTGGATGGTAGAATTCAAATTTGAATAGGGACAGCTGGGCTCCACTTTGTCCAGTAGGAGGCGAGACATAAACTGAACTGACATCAATCCACTGGCCCACAGTCAGTTGCCACCAGCCAGCATGCAGCCAAATGTTACTTCAAAGGCTAAACTATGTTTAGTTGACCCTTGTTTAAGATTATTTTCAAAATACAAAATACCTTCTGGCTCAGAAGTTCCCTTGTCCCTTAGCACAGCTACAACTGCTCAGATTAAACATTTCAGTAGCTTGCTACGTCAAATGACCTTACTATAGCATTTAGAACCAGGGTGTATGATTGATAATTGATGGAAATGAGATTGAATTGGGCAGACTTTGGAAGGGGACTACCATTTTTGAGGCACAGTGCATCAAGTGAAAGGCCTCGCCTGCCCTATTGGGAGGAGAGTAGCAATATATTCTGTGTGAACTTTTCAAGTTATGCAGGCAGTAATGGATAGCAACAAGCCCTTCTAAAAAGACCTCTCTTCTGTTGGCAAAAAGCCACTCTGAGCTACAAGCAATCCTCCACTGCCCTCTCTCTGCTCTTTGTTTAAAACCCAGTGTGACATGTAACACACCATAAAGAGGTGTAAAGGGTCATGTGGGGGGGTCTAATCAATTTAACTGTTGAGTAAAAATCATGCATTTATGTTACGTAGATTTCTCCCTTGGCCTCTTTGGTCACACTACAGCCCCTTATTTAATCATGCCGGTAAATCTTAGTGGCAACCCAGAGCTCTCACCAACATTCCCCTGGTGGCGTGAGCCTTAACATGGTAAATTTCACCCGGGTAGGGAAATGCGCTCAGTGGCCGAGGCTAGTGCTTTAGAAGGATAAAAAGAGCACTTACCGCCTGACATGTGCAATCCATAACGGAATAATGAGACTCCTCCACACTAGGATCTCTCTTCCCCGGCTCCCCCTATCCTCTTTTTGTTTTCTTTGTGAGTGTTCATAAACGGCATGTAAATTCAAGGAGCGGAAGATGTTGCGAGTGCTCGTGGGATAGCGCTTAATCGCTTGCGTCTTGTTAGCCAATCGTGTAACAACATGTACGATGTGAAGATGCTCCTAACGACCAGTGAACCTTGTGGAAAGTGCCAGTCTTCTTAAATCAGCTGTTAGTTTTAAAGTGAAGGTGATCTTCACCACAATGTCTGCTTAAGAAAAAGCTCTTCAGAGAAGTATGCTTCTCAAATTGTACATAAGTACTTCTACACTATGTATGCAATGTAGCAGTATATTACATTGCTCAAGATGAACATGATCTGGATGACCACAGCACAGAAAACAGGATGCCATTGCAGATTATACAACATGCTAAATTATTGGACATTTCTTTAAAACTAACTACACTTTTGGAAAAAAAAACATTTATTTTTGTTTTACCCCCAAAAAAGCTTAAAACATATACTTAGCTTTTTTCATATTCCATGCACGGACAAAATATTTATGTCACCATCATATAAAGGTCAGAAAACTGTATCTTGTAAACAGAAAGGTGAATAAATTAGGTTAAGGCAGATGCTTACTTTTTCTCTTAGAGGCGTTCAACTCAAAACCGAACAAATTAGTGATGTGTACAAATTTGTCCATACCAAGGTCTAGCCTTTCCATATTTGCATGCAGACCTGCAATTATTTCTTGCTTGCTGTCTTGTTTTTGAACTCAATGTGAGATTGTTAAAAAAAAGCATGTTGTCTCTTTCCTTATTGTCTTAGTTCTCCCCTCTCCTCATCTGTCACCCCTAGGGGTTGAGGCACAATCACCTCCGACAGCAGCGGGCCATCGCTCACTCTGTCCCTGAAGGCGACAGCCTACTTACTGCCAACTCACGCTCAAATGGAGGACATTTCATCACCCCACCAAAAACACAATTAAAAATGTGAAAGCAGCAGTTGGCGGCCCTCAAGAGCCACCCCCAGTTGTGAGTTTAGTTACTCTGAGCCTGCCTCACCCTCTCAGATATTTACTTCCAGTGTGGTTGAGTGTTTGTCAGCTAAGATGAAACGCCACGTAGCACTCGTGGCATTTCAGGGTGAACGAAACACTGGAAGAACGAGGGAAAGTGGACCAGCGCCCAGTGATTACCAATCTCAGAGAGCAGAGTGGCAAGCCAGTCCGCCTTTGGTATACATGTAGCTTCAATAATTAGCTGATAAGTGACTGTGCTGTGGGCTAGATTTTTTTTTCCCTCCTAGAAGCAAATAATGGAGGATAGTGTGATAGGGTATGTGGTGATTGGTAATGTGCATAACAAACACACATACTGTACACACACACAGAAACACACACACAGAAAGCAGGAACACAGGCAGACTGACGGCTATTAGAGTGCAACGATGCTCCCGCTTATCTCCCACCATGATAGAGATCTACAAAGAGCTTGAGAGAGATTATGAATTCATTACCTTGATACACAAGTGAGCACTGCGATAGACAGCAGTTTGAGAATGGAGATGGGAGCATGGTAGGTGTACTGGGAGGGGCAGGGATGGGAATGCAGCGAATTACACGCTGCTGGGTAGAGAAGAAATCTGTTCGCACTTGTTGGATTTTAGTCATTTTTTAGATCTTCAAGTGCCATGTTACATTTACTCTACCTATCTAGACTTTGACTACGGTACACTATTATTACAGTGTTGGTTGGAATATTTAATGTTTTAGTTTTTACAATTTGTTCAAATAAAGGTTTTTGTTCACGGCATATTTAAATTTATCAATTCATTAATTTAGATTTTATGTTAAAAATAGATTTTTTTCCGATAACACAAATGCTGTTTTTTATTAGAGATTGTGTTTTATGGTGCTGAATAAAGCGTCACTTCATATTATTTTAAATTCAGTTTAAATTACGTAGCAATTAAGTAATCTAGCACATGTGACTTGCGTTCATTTCTTGATTTTGTTGACATCTTTAAAGCTGTTGCTCATTGGTCACTCCTATTTTGGTGACTTTAATGACATGCAATTTGGCATGATTGGGTGATGACTTGACAAGGCTGTTGATGGCCTTTTGTGGAGAGGACATCAGCTAAATGCCTAAATTATAGGCTGCTATTTGTTAGTATAATGAATTAGAGTCAGTATAACCTTCTTGGAAGACTTGTATATCACCGCACTCACTTGATACCTCTCTTTCTCCTTAAAGTCTCCTGCATTTATTTTACCTGGCTCACTCTCAATATGGCTTTTTCTGAGTGTTTTGCCTCCAGCTCTGTTGAACTCAGCTGACATTTGGAGGCAGGTGAAAGAGTGCAGTTAAATAAACTAAAGCATTTCAGAAGAAAGGGTGAGGACAGAGGAAGACACAAACAATAACAGAGAGGGAGTGTTTTGTATGACTGTGTTTAACTGTGTGTCATGTGAATACTGTTAAACTGACACGTGTTGCTTTATATGGTGCCTACTGCTGCAGAACATTTTCATTTCCATGTTCCTTGACTGACCGGACAGTTAGTTTAACTGAATGTTGTAAACTAGTGAAGATTTAATATGTTCTCCACTGTGTAGAGTTAGACCATTATTTGATTTTCATTACACACTGTATCGCAAATAGTTATGTCAATCGTTGATGTTAATATTTCACTGTGACTGCAGCTACTTTATGCGGAAGAAAAGTCTGTGGAATATGAAAGCAGATTTGATTTTATGAATCCCTTTCATTTTTTGTAAATCAATTCATTAAAATAAAATATCACTGAATTTAGGGGGTATGAAAGCATAGCATGTTCTTGATGAAATTGACTAAAAGTAAAAACATTTAAAAATAGTAAGATCGTTGATGTAAAAAACGAAATGTCTGCTAACAGAACTATGAAAGTCCCATTGCTTTTTAAGCTCAATGTTTTCTGTGCTGGCTTGTTTTTAGTGTGGTAATAAGCACTTTTACTGAGCAATAACTACCTGTAATGGTATATCACCATATGAATCCATCTTTCAGCAAATTTAGAAACACATCTTTGATTGTTAGGCTGGAACAACCCAGGGTATAATTTATGCTGTGAGTAGGGGTGTTTTTATGCAGTAATATATCATTACTCTGTGTATATGTTTGTATGCAGCGTCCTGTG